CGTACTGTGCTGAAGAAGGGGTCAGGATACTTGGTGAAGGGAAATTTCTGGTATCTGACAGTTTTCCAGGAAATGAAAGGACCAAATACTGCCTCACTTCAAAGGTAATTTACTTTGAAAAAAAATGTATATATTTGTTCATATAATTTGGAATCTCCTTCCATTGTTTTCAAGTTCCACGTCTTGGCCAAGTGTTGTTTCGGTAAAGGTGCTTCAGTTACCGTTCAGTTGCTTGTTGGACTATTTATTGAGAGGGTGATTGCCTGATTTTGCATGAATCTAGATTTCACCAGACATAAAATGAGAATCTTTTGGTGTTCGTCTCATGCTCCCTTATAGCTCATTTGCAAGAAGCACTATTTATCTCTTGATTTTCAGGACCCTAAATTTAAACCAGTTTTCTTTCTGATTTGTACCCGGTAAATGATAGAAGGATATTTGGACACGCAGATACCTCTAGGGGTTATTTTAGCCATTCCACCCTTCAACTATCCTGTCAATCTCGCTGTTTCAAAAATTGGTCCTGCACTTGTTGCTGGGAATTCTCTTGTACTCAAGCCTCCTACCCAGGTTCGTATTTAACTGTTGGTGATTCATGTAATTAATCAGCTTTTCGTTGCATAAAAAATGGTCAAGCGTGCTTCTCCCACATTTAACTGCATTTATAGGCCAAGTGATTCTTAAAATTACGTGATCTTGCAGGGTGCTGTAGCTGCACTTCACATGGTGCACTGCTTTCATTTAGCTGGTTTCCCAAAAGGTCTAATTAGCTGTGTTACTGGAAAAGGGTCTGAGATTGGCGACTTCCTTACAATGCATCCTGGGGTCAACTGTATTAGGTAATACCTTAATTTCCTTGAGATAATATCCTCCATGAATATCATTGATTGCCTTTCATTTGGTTGAAGATTGAATGTTTGCCAACTATAGTATACTGCATGTTTGATAGGAATTAGAGTGAGGATCTCATCGAACCACGGTAAGGCAAAATAAGCATATTTACGTTGTTTCATTGTTCTGATTCTCGGGTTAAATGGTAGGATACTGCATTATGCAGAGTTAGGCATCCTTTCAAGTTGGAAGCTAAAAGAAGATACAGATCCAAGTTTCTTTTATTTTGCATGTCAATTTGTCTACTAACAAAGCATGATTACACAGCTTCACTGGTGGAGACACTGGAATCGCAATTTCAAAGAAAGCAGGCATGATCCCTCTTCAGATGGAACTGGGTGGAAAGGATGCCTGTATCATACTTGAAGATGCTGATTTGGATTTGGCAGCCGCTAACATTGTGAAAGGAGGCTTTTCTTACAGGTGAGAGAAATCATTCAATAATGCTAGCACTTCTAATTGTGTCAAAATGGCAAGGTTGTTAATGAGTCTTTCATTTTGATTTTATGTTGAGTATGATTAATCTACTGACATATCGTGTTACCTAGCACTTGTTTCTATATGCTGGACATGGTTTCTGAACAATCACCCAAATTGCGAAAGTTTTGGTAGTCTGTTATATTCTTCCAAATTTCAGTAAGAAATGCATCAACACACTTTACATCCCCTGCAATGATATAATGTTTCTTCTGGAGAGGATGAATCACAGATTCACTGTACCAACTGCCTTCTCTCTAACAGCTATAGCTGCAGTTAGCATAGATGTTTGGGAAATTTGACAATGTTCTTTGCCATTTCTCAGTGGTCAAAGATGCACAGCTGTGAAGGTTGTGTTGGTCATGGATTCTGTGGCTGATGCTCTTGTTGATAAAGTTAAAGCTAAAGTTGGGAAACTGACTGTTGGCCCACCGGAAGACGACTGTGACATCACTCCAGTTGTTACAGAATCATCTGCTAACTTCATTGAAGGATTAGTCATGGATGCCCAGCGGAAAGGGGCTACATTCTGCCAAGAGTACAAGAGGGCTGGCAACCTTATATGGCCGCTATTATTAGATAATGTTCGTCCTGATATGAGAATAGCATGGGAGGAGCCATTTGGTCCCGTTTTGCCTGTTATACGGATCAACTCGGTTGAAGAAGGAATTCATCATTGTAATGCTAGCAATTTTGGCCTGCAGGTACAACATTTAATCATTCTTAATCCATTTCGTAAACACGTTTACTTTCAATTCAAGTTCGTGGAGAATCCATATATGTATACTACTTTAAATTCGCCTCTCAAGATGATGTGTCATTGCAGGGTTGTGTCTTTACTAGAGATATAAACAAAGCAATTCTGATCAGTGATGCAATGGAGACTGGAACAGTTCAGATTAATTCGGCTCCAGCTCGGGGACCAGATCATTTTCCTTTCCAGGTGATCTTTCTTCCATATTCCTTATAAACCGATGCAAAGCACATACCATTCCTGATTGTTTCCAGCATCATGAGGATATCAATTGAAGTTTCTATATCAAGGCTTATGAGATAAAACATCAACTTTTTTCCTTGGGTGCAAAATACCAGGTTGTTATCCTCTGAATGAAGATAATAAGCAACCATATCTTTTTCAAAGCCCCATAAACCATCGTCCAATATCATTACCTACTGCTAGCTTTCCATGTTAATCAAGGCTAGCAAACAATACTTCCTCCTCTACTCTTCATAACTAACTGCAATTATCGAATTGTGGCAGGGTCTGAAGGACAGCGGCATTGGTTCCCAAGGAATCACCAACAGCATCAACATGATGACAAAGATCAAGACAACTGTGATTAACTTACCTACACCTTCCTACACGATGGGTTGATGTGAAAATTGGAATAAAACCATTGATACTCTGTTCCCATGTATATTAGCTAAGCAATAAAAAAGTTCTCATGCTTTTGTCTGGTTATCTGTAATAAAAAAAAAAAAAAGGAAAAGCAGTGAGATGAGTGTTGGTCAACTTGCATAAAGTTGTAATGAATCTTCTCTAAGCAGTAGAAATGTAATAAATGATGAAGATCTTCTTCTTCTTCCTCTTCCTCCTCCTCTGATCATTAACACCAATGAGGACAAAAAGCCAAAACAGAAAGGGGTCGTTTTGTCATGTAGCAGTGTAGCAAACGAAGAGGTCCACTCTTTAGCTTCAGTTCTTGTGCTAAGTAACGTACCATTTCACCCTGGATCTGCCGTTACAAATGTTTTGTCGCGTTGAGTCGCTGCCAACTCCCAGGTTACTTCAAGGCCCTGGGCCAAGGGCAAAGCTATTAAAGAATCCAAACAAAACCATTTATGGAATAATTATCACATCTCCGTCTTCGACTTTAAACAAAGATTAAGATAAATTTTAAATTGTTATAATATATAATATGAATAAGTAAAAAAATTTATGAAAAATTAATTTATGATATAGAAAAAAATACAGTATTAAATGTGTAAGACAACGAAAAAAAAAGACAGGTGTATTTTTACGTCAAAAATAAAATTTTTACAGGTAGTAAAATAATTTTTTAAAACTATAGAGTCGATTTAATAAATGTTTTTTTAATTTATTTTATAAAAAATATAATTTATTTCTTGAATAAGATATATACGTACATATATTGAAATCTGATTTTTTAGATAACAGATAGATACGTGTTGCAATATGGCAAATTACTTGTTTTGAATTAATTAATATTTAAAGCAAATAGCACCTCATTAAATTATTTTCAACCAATGCAAAATAAAATTGAGTAATAATAAATTATCATTTGATGTTAATTTAATCATAAGTTGCACCATCACGTGTCAAAGCGATTTAATATATGAATAATCAGTTTTAAATTATTCTACAAAATAACATAAATAAATTGTCATTAAAATAAATTAAAGAATAAAAATGAAAAGCGAATCGATAAGGAAAATAAAAATATGGTGGGCTGTTTTTCCTTTCGGGGTACAATCTGATGCGTGGAACCACATCAGACAATTCATCAGAACCTCACGGATTTCTTCATGTACATCCAATAAACCAAAATTCACAATAAATCCAAAATTATCATTTTAGCTTGAAATTAAAATGGAAACAAACCTTTTTTATTGCCAAATATATTTTTTCCCTTAAAAGAGATAAAGTAATTTTATAAAGAAATAGTACTAATACTCAAATCTAAAACCATATCTATTCATTACTCAAGTAACATGTAATTTCAAATATTGATCATTTAATTATCATACAAATTAAATCACGTAATATAATATAGATATTATAAAAAGTAAATAATTTGAAATAATTAATATAATTATATATATTTGGTACTCAAATAAAATAACATTATTAGGTGCTGATTGGAATAGCACAAGTCGCACTAGCATTGATTAGCCTCTCTTTTTTTTTCTTTATATTAAATCAAGTTATGTCACACATTTAACAAACGAAATTAGTCAAACATACGAAACGATAAACTGAATTATAATTTGAGTATTTAGCTGAGAATCTTTTTTCCAAGCATTAAATTGACAATCTCATTATAATTCAACTATTAAATATATAATTAACTTGATGAATTTGAAAAAAAAATATAACAAAACAACACAACAATCAACACTATGTTATAATTCTATACTTAAGTTAATTCGTAACCATCCATCTTTAATTTAAATCTCCATCTACCAACAAAAACGAAAAGTTGAGTTTTTTAAATAATGATACAACGACAAATGAAAAAATCAACTAGTGTATAATTTTGAATTTCTTATGGTAATTTCAAATAATTTAATACACCCAAAATTTTACACTCAATAATAATATAGTAAAATTAAAATATGAAAGACCATGAAAACCATTAATCCATAAGAAAAGATTTGCATTATCATTACCTTAATACATAATAATATTGTCATAAATTCTATAATAATAGGGTTTTGACATGTCAGTGTATGGATGTACATATCACGTGCTTACACTTAAATATTTATTTTACGTAATTATAGTTATTTAAATTCGAATAGTGACATATGTAAGTTATTAAAAAGAATAAAAAATTAATATATTATTATTTCATTTAATCCAAATTATTATCTTATAAATATGTAAATTAAAATTAAAAAGTATTCAAACAAATAATTTAAAAAATTACGAGTATATATTTTTGACAGTTTTTAGTCTATATTTATTTATTATGGAGGTGTCAAAATTTGGTTAATTTTCTGGCCAGTCTTAAAATGGGAAAGGAGTTACTAATCCTTATCATCATGCAAAGGCATTTTTTGGTACATGGTATCAGGCTTAGTTGTACAGTGGTAATTAGTTTTCCATAAAAAGGAAAAAGGAAAATAAATTTTCATTATCCAAAAAACCTCTTTTTAAGAAATTTGAACTTTGACAAAAAAGTAATTTCAACCCAATAAAAAAAGCGATGCGAGTCAGCAAACTTGAATCGAGCGGTCCCAAATACCCCACGTGGTCCCCATGTCATGAAAATCCAAAGGTGGATTTGAAGAGTGCAATTTAACTCCAATTCATAGGCACGGGGGAATCCGAGCACGGCCTCGCTGGATTCTCCTTTAAATACAGACACAAAAAAATCAAAAGGGAGTCTGATCGTGAGGAGTGAGGAGAAAAGAGAAAAAAAAAAGAAAAGAAAAAACTAAAAAAATTAGTGTTTTTTATATAAATATTATTTTTTACAGTATTCCCTCTGCAAAGTTTTATTCACAAAAAGAAAAAAGCAAAAAAAAAAAAAAACCTCAGTCATCACTTTCTCTCTCTCTCTCTCTCTCTCTCTGAGGAAAAAAAAACTGAAAACCCTAAGTTTCTCTCTATCGAGTAAATCCCCTTCCTCTCTCGCTGAATCTGCTTGTCGTCTTCACGATTTGTGGTTTTCGCGTGAGTTTCTAGGGTTTCAATGGTGTGAAATCGAGGCATTAGGCTTAGATATTAAAGGATCTGTTTCTGTATATTTAGGTACATAAAACATTTTTTGTTCATAACAGAGAAAAAGAAACTATGGCGGCATCAGATAAAGAGCTGGAGCTGCAGTTAATGGAGGCTGGGAACAGGCTCGTTGATCCTCCTTCGTCAGTTGATGAGCTTATCCATCTCCTCGACGTATTCCCTACTTTCCCTCCTTGCATTCTTTCCCCTTAATTCTGTTTACTCTTCAGTTGTTCTGTCTCTAGGTTTTTTATTTTTGATTTATGTGCTTTATTATGCATGCGGTTTCATTTCTTTGAGTATGTGATTTTTTTATTTTTCTGCTATTAAAGTTAGTTCCATTTCTCCCCCATCCTGATCTGCTTTTGCCTTTGTTTCTAAAGTTTTCTTGTTTTGCATGTTGTTCACGTGTTCAATTCGGCTTCTGCCATTACTGTTATAGCTTTGAATCAGTGCTCATGGATATTGTTTAACCCTCTAACTATTGTTATATCTCTTATCTCTCTCTATATCTGTCTATCTATCTATCTCTCTTAGATATATCAATACATGTATGTTTTTGAATTTGCTATCTGTATATCTATCCATCTATCTGTCTATCTCTCTGTTAGATATATCAGTAAATGTTTGTTTTTGAATTTGATAAATGTCCGATATGTACAATGGGTTTGCTTTCATAGACTGTTAACGTTATTTTGAATGTTAGTTTGAAGTTTTGAATATCTTTTTTTTAAAATTGCGCGGGAGCGGGAGTCAAGTGAGGGTGTATGTACACGTGTGCGTGTTTGTTGTCTATGTGCGGCATAACGGTTTTGATTCTTCTTGAAGAGGATCCCATATCAGGCTTTAAGTTTGTGAAATCTGAGGAACTGGTATAATAAATAATATCCTTGTTTTTGTTTAGTTAATTAAGCACGAGCTATGTTTGGCGATCAATTTCTAATGGGAAAGGTAAAATTTTTAATGACCGACTTGTGATGGCATTGAAAGCATCAAAAGTTAATATGGAAAGCATGGGTAGATATTGCATAAAACCATTCCTAATAAGGAAGGATTTTGTCGGGCACGTGAGATTGTGTTTTTATTGCATAAAACAAAGATGTTAATCAGTTTATTCTTTGTTGTAAATATCTTGTCTGTTTCCTTCGAAGAATAAAGCTAAACAAACAGAGTTATTTTTTATGAACTTCATTAAATCATATTCTCATTTCTTCTTCACCTATAGAATATCTATCCTGTTGAAGTTTTGGTGTCTAAGTAAGCTAGCTATTGGAATCCACGATAGATCCACAATTAATGCGTGTTATGCACAGAAGTTCAATTCCACATTTGATAGCTTCGCTTATGATGATGACTAAGGCAATTGTTGTCTTGGTGACCTTTTCAGTTTTCTCCTGCCCCT